CTGTTGTGGTGAACTTATGAAATTGTAAATTAACAAATGACGAAACATGCTGCCAAGAACTTATTAAATCTCGCTTGAGGCACTGAAAAAAATACCAATGTTACGATGAGAGTTAAAATTTCCAAATGTTGCATTTACACGCTATCTGCTTATACCTATAAACAGAGTGTTGTAAAAGACATAAAGGCATTCCTTTCCATCACCTCGATCAAGACACTCTTTTGAATGATAATGCCCCATTTGTAAGAAACCAATTTCCGATTGCAAGTGTTTTCCGGAGATGGCGCAGAAGTAATTTCAAACGTCACTTTGGAAAACGGCATAAGATTGAAAAATGTAGTGAAGAGGACAATGACAATAACAGTAGTGCTCTGCGTGGCAAAGAGTTGTCTTCCATCTTCATACCAGTTTTAAGGTTCATAAAAATAGGTGGACAGTGCTACGGAGACCTTTTCCTCGACGAATTCGAACTTCACAGGGGCATCTTTTCTCGTATTTATTGTGCGGTGGTGGTCCAGGGGCAGTGGTTTGTGGCTATGCAGGCTGTCTCGAGTCTTTTCTGTGAAGATCTTGCACATCTGACAAAATTTTTCCTTCTTAATGATCTTGATGAATTGGTAAGTGCAGTCGGCAGTGGTAACGACAACATGTCTTTTCATTTTTTCCCAAAGGCCGTGAAAATCATCACGTTTTAGGAATTTTGTTAATAACTTTCTCAAGCAATCATCCAGCTTAAAAGTATTCAAAAAGTCTAGATTAGTTTTCTTACCGGTTTTTTCAGTTGTCTTTTGTGTCTGCAATACTATTTGCCTTGCATTTGTAGACCTATATCCACGCAAATCGGTGGCCTGTTTTTGTCCCTGGAACGGTTTACTTACACATCGCATAATGCATTATGTTTCTTGAGTCTTTAATAGCTTTTCGTGGGTTTTACCATTCTAGTTGTTTTATGCCTCATGTGAGATTTTGGTCAAAATGTTTGCGATTTTAGGAACGGAAACTTTAGCAGAATGCCAAAATGGGTTTAGTATTGCAACTTTGAGGAAGGAACATTTACGACTTTGTGAAACAGTCTTTCTAGCAGACAGTCTTTTCCCTAATCCTTTTGACGGCAGTTGCCTTGGATATTCCTTTGCTGTGCATTACTTTTCATCAGGGGTTTAGATCGCATTCTTTAAGTAAAGAAGAAATTAAATTTGTGATAAGCGTTTTATATTGGTGCATTGGCATAGCAACAAAGTTGACCTTAGTCGTGGTTTGTGAAGTACGATTCAATCAAAAGGTAAGGTTTAATACGGTAACTGCTAATTCAATTCACTATTTTTCAATGTTTTGTGCGAATTGAACAGAGGGTCTAGTCTTTTTAAATCTCTCTATAGAAATCGAGGGGTCTAGAAAAGAGGCACTTTTGTTAAAAGTAAGTTTTCGTATCTCAATGTAGATTCATGGCATCTACGACAGTTTGCGATTTTCCAACGTCTCAAAACCCAACAAACAGTACGAGGTAAGTGTTAATTGGTATCTTTCTACAGCATGTGAACGGGACTATACTCTTGTTTGAAGGATGTCAGAAATTCAGCCAAGGAATCGCCGAAAAATAGCACGATGCCAGATCAAACTTAAATGGTGAGACGGCATTGTTGCGGAAAAGTCAGAAGCTGCAATTCTGCTGAAGTAAAAGCGTCCAGTTCGTCGGCATCACATTCGTAATTATAACGGGATCTTGAAGAGAACTTTTAAAGATGAGAGCAATCTGTAACAAGCTACTGACTGTCTCTGGTTTTTATCCCAAATGACTATTAGCTGCTGCGCTTTCCGATACACCTTCGTGGAGACTCTATCGGCGTGTTCATTGTGGACTGGCAGTTATAACAAAGTCTCTTACACTCTCGAGAAGTTAAAAAAATGGCAACTTCCTCCAAATATCACGCAAGAAGGATTCCATAAATAATAAAAACGCTTGTAAAATAAAGTTTCCAGGAATTGTGAGCTTAGTCTATCATCTATAATACAGATAAAATCCTATAACAAGATCAGGATTCTCATATCATGATATTTTCGCCCTTCGGAATGACTTGTTTATGGAAATGTTTATATACGTTAACTGTTTTTTTTTTTACCTTTCCCTTTTCTGTTTCTTTTGCTTTTTTTTTCTTTTTTCTCGTCTCATACATTGCCGTGTTACTAACCCTGCCAAGTTGAAATTAAGGGAAAAAACTAACGAACGAAAAAAACTGGAAAGAAAATTATGGAGGAATGTAAGACAAGGAAAGAAACAAGTTGTAATAATAATACTGTATGGAACGAATGTAGAAGAAAACAACGATTAAAAGAACCGAGAAACTGCTCTTATAACAAGATCAGGATCCTCATATCATGATACTTTCGCCCTTCGGAATGATTCATTTGAGAAAAAATGTTTAAATCCATTAACTGATTCTTTTTACCTTCCCTTTTTCTTTTTTCTTTCCTTTTTTTTTTCTTTTTTCTTTTCTCTTTTTTCTTTTTTCTTAATTTTAACAGCTTGTAGGTGTGATCATCTCTTACATTGCGGTGTTACTAACTCTGCCAAGTTGAAAAAAAAGGAAAAACCCAACAAGTGGAAGAGCTCTCAGAGTGTTAAGGATACTCGTTATAATCCAGTGTGTAAATTTTACTTGATTACACTCCTTCTCTTACAAACCAAATCAGATTCGGTAAAATCAGTCTAATTTTGCTCATCAGAGTCGGAATCGAGACTAAAACTCCTTTTATCTAAGAAATGAAATGGTGCCTTTTCAAACGTACATTAAAGACAAGAGAAATAAATACCCTGACACTAGACAGTCTATTTACAATTAAAGCCAAAAAAAATCAAAGTAAATAAAACAGCATTAAGGAAATGCAGGAACAATCTCTACAAAAATCATCGGTTCCGGCGCCATATGATGCTAGACGTGGCAACTATTCGATATTTGCATTTGTTCTTATACCCGTTAGTTTTCTTCAATCCTCGGTTAATCTGGACGCGTCTTGTTGACATACTTGTGAGTGAATCTTTCGGCAAAAATTTGAAGAACATAAAATGTGTGGCTTCTTGACTTCCCCTACCTCAAACGTAGGCTAGTAGAGTTCAAAAGCGAGAACAGTTTTTGATCGTAACACAAACATTTAACCATGCGATGAATGGAAAAGTTTGAAATTCGATTAAAAATTGCATTCTCTCTTCTTATTTGCAGCACGCGTTGCGAAAACTGAAACTTGTGCAATTATTAGATACAAATTTAAGAATCTTGGCACTTCTATTTGCCCAAAGTCTTACAAAAAAATAAATTGAAAGAAAATCATACTATTTTCTAGTCCTTCTAATGGCTGCCTCATTAAAATGTTTTCCATAAGCAATTATTGCACTACTGAAAGTATATTCAAATTATAATCACAGTACGTTTGTTTATGAGGTACATATGCCTACTTTCCATGCTTATTGTACTGAGGAAATTACCAGCTATTATTCGATTTGGTTTTCTTTATTGACTGGTCTACCTTATTTGAGCTAACAACTCATTTCTCATATTTGCCAGATTTGGTTTCGGTTCATTAAAGAAAAGTGGAGTTTCTTTAAGGTAGCCTTGTCAGCACTCTCTCATTTACATCAGAAAAACAAAAGGAACTTTGAAGACATGAATTGTAGAAGCGTCCTCACAGATTTCAATGTATTATATTAACGACAGAAAAAGTTTAACAATAAAAAAGCAGGATGCGAGCTTATGATGTGGGAAAGAAGACACCTGAAGCGAACGAGTTTTGTAGATCCGAGTTGGTTTAAATCCTCTGGGAAACTTACCTCGGTAGATGAGCATTTAATTTATAAGGAATCCCCTAAGAACGAAAAGTCATAAAATTACTTGAAATGTATTTAAAAAAAACTCGCAATAAAACATTTCTGTCCCCTCTGGGCCGTTTGATATTTACCTTTCAATCCATGGACTGTTTGATCACGCAAACTGAATTTCAATTAAGAAAAATCAATTAAATTTCAAATTTAAATTGAATTAAAAAGTCGAAGGTCAAATGGGAATTATGATTACACGAATTGAAGAAACCAACATGAGATTCAATTGAGAAGCCTGAGAAGTTTCCAGATGTTGAACTTCCAAATCTGATTGGCCTCATGGAAACATACCTTGTTTCCTGTATAAAAATTCCTCTGATTTTTTTCCTAGGTTAACTTGGGATCAGGATTAGCAGTCAACAGAAGTAATCCTCTCCGTTTTTGGCAAGATATAAGGCCTACGCATGGCATTAATTTGCACCAGTACTGATTGAATTTTGACTGATAAGGTGAAAATAGCGAAAAACAAAATGTCAAATTATCATTAAATACTATTTAATTATCATTAAATATTTGCTACTCTCTCTTTGAAGCCAGGTCAGTTGTTTCTTCTTTCACTACGTAAGGAGCATAACCTTGTGAAGGTCGACATATTTTAGTGGCAGTAATTCTGATTAATTTATGGATATATATTTGTATAAGCACTATAATTATCTCTGATTTATCTGGTCCAACTCACTATCTCATGTTGGACTAAACTTATACTATTTTCCGGCGAAAACCTTAAGAAATTTCAAACATTTTGAAAGGAACTAGCTTTAAACGTGATGCAGTTGAGAAACTGTTGGCTTTCTTAGTTGCCCTTGTTTCTCTAGTGTGTATTCAAGGACTTTACACTTCTTTTATCGACTTTTGCGCAGGAAGATTTCCCTCTATCTAGTGACCACTAATACAGTTAGCTGGAGTCCAAATAATATAACTAATACATTTTACCTGTTCTTATCCATAGTCAACATATTTTAGCAAATATACATTAAAGAATCAGCGTATATGAAATGAAAAAATTAATAAAGAATTGAACAAACAGTGGGTATAATACAGTTAATGTCTGAGCATTTACATTGTGTTTTTTCATCTCCAGTCCTTAATTTTATATTATATATTTCACGCGTTTGGTATCAAACCACCAAGTGTAGTATACCACGATCGAAGTAATAAATTACCTACGAGTCTCAACTTCAAATTTCTCCAAAATTAACTTCCTAAATTATTAAATTCCAATTTCTTTGCATGGTTATCTAGTTGCGCAAAACCTTTGCGCACCTAGAACTGCACGTTCTCTAAGGTCTCCAGTGTCCTCGTTAAAGGCAAAGAAATATTCACTCGATTTCTTGACCAATTCTTGCACGGGCATATAATGCTTTTCATGCTTGTTCGAAATATTTGACTTTGTGCGGCATAAACAAAGGGATTTGCACATGAATTTACTAATATTAAAACAAGAAGAACCTCATTTATCGTGTACATTATTTCTGCTTCTAATACATAGTACCACACAACATAAAGAATCAGATTTGGAATGAAGCAAATTCCGTAGATTATTGTTATTGTCAAAAGCATTTTGGTGACTTTCCGTCTGCAGAAATTTTTTTTGGGATCACTTTCTGAAGGAGCTTAGAAACCAGGCTCAACTCAGTAGCCAAGCCTACTGAATTTGTGCCCAAGCCTTTTCTTGCTTGCGTGACCTTTTTTGTCACACTAGAGAATACAAGGAACTTCGGCGAGTAGTAAACACAAGCTCAAATTTTTAAAGCAGTAAAGAGGAAAACTTTTTGAGACTGAAAGGTAAGTAAGTAAGTTTTTTAGTGTTTTACAACCTAAATTTAGTGTTTCCTTTTGTAATTTTACAACGTACAGTAAATTGTCAAATCAATAACTCGAAAAGCTTACTGCTAAAATTTAACTCTTTATTAATAACCTTATACTTTCTTGATCTGATATCTCAATTAGCAATAACACCAGAAATAATTTGCTTTTGTGGTATATACTATATGTATACCTAACTTGTTGAAGTACGCTGTCATGAAATAATGCACTTAGCAACAATTAATCTGATTACACAAGACTGAGTCAATGTTTAAATTGTTCCCTGGACTGCCTGGACTGCCTGGACATCCGAGGCAACTGATAATGCATTTTGGGAGTGGTAGGGATGCTTACTTCATAGTGGCTATGGCTGTACCTGTCCTTTAATTTGCCCTGTTGTTTGTAATAGATTTTCCTTGCATTGTCTGTTATTTTTTTTTCAGGAAATTTTAGTCTGCAAGAAGAAAATTCTTTTACAGAAGAATCCTTTTCCTGTAACGTTTACAACTGTTGCTTACGTTTGCCATATTTCTGATATTTTTATCATAACAGAATTTTTCACAAAAATTATTTGACATTGAATTCTTATACAAATACTGCAAGGTCAAGCCTGCCCACCAACCCATCAAGGTGGTGTTGAAAACTGCAGTAAGGTCTATTGAATATAGTTAAAGTACTGAATTTCACTCCATGACTTACTACTACAGAATATGGGGCTTTTTATGATTAGGTACCAAACAAAAAAAAATGCTTTCTTGGCTCATTTGCATCAAGCCACCTAATATAATTCACAAAGATTATTTCACATTGGATTCTCATACAAATACTGCAAGGTCATGCCTACCCACCAACCCATTAAGGTGGTGTTGAAAACTGCAGTTAGGTCTATTGAATATAGATAGAGTACTGAATTTCACTTTATGACTTACAATTACAGAATATGGGGCTTTTTTATGATTAGGTACAAAACAAAAAAAAAAAAGCTTTCTTGGCTCATTTGGATCAAGCCACCTAATATAATGCAATCAATGTCTTGTTTTCTGTATCGTGAGTCATTGCTCAGTTGGAATTGATATTTAAATCTTAATTATAATCATTTAAATCCAACTGAATGTATTTCTTTCATTACTTTTCCACTGACTGCCAAACCAGCAAGCCTTGAGGAATTAAACTGTGAGGACTTTAAAAAAGGCCCTATATTGTTTACATGTAGCTGCTTTAGGGGAGGGGAGTGGTAAAGTTTCAAATTTGGTTAAGAGTATGTAACACAATAATAATAATGTTAATAATAATAATAATAATTCATTTTTTCCATCCTTTGTTGCAAACGAAATGACCCAGAGCCATTATTGGAACATACCAGAATAGCCTTTTTATTTATGGAAGGCCTCAGTGATGCACAGATATGATATGAAAATAATTTTCTCTTGTGTGAGGCATCAGTCAATTTAGGAATTACCAAGTGTAAAATTTCAAGTCAATATGGTCCAGAAACTACTCATTTTTGTAGAGGGTGGAGCAGGGAGGGGTGGAGGGGTCGAAATTATTAGGTTTGCGTACCGTTTTCACTCTTTGCACCCTGAGCACTCAGTCACGCACACTTCAGATGGATGCTCAACACAACAGCGCCAAAAAATAATCAAGCAAATAACTAAGACGTGCAAAGCTTCCACGGTGAATATAAATTTACCGCTATAAACAGTGAAAAGGCCTTACAGATTTTACACGTAGCTTCTTTGAAGGTACAACTTCCTATGACGTTCTAACAAGATTATCAAGTTGTCAAATACGTATTTCATATGATTGATATCAATTGCTTTATTAAGTCGAAATAAGCTTAATATCAAGAATAAATAAGCGGATTACTACACTTACGACGAATTTTGTGGTCCGTTAAAAAAAGTACTTGGTTCAATTACGTAGTTTACCGAAAGGTTAATTTTGTTTGCCTGCTAGGATTTCTTTTTTAACATTGAATACATTTTCAAGACCTGTACTCAACGAGGTGCACTTCTTGCGATTGTTCTGCAATCTAGCGAGTCCTTCGGAAAAACGTCACCGAGAGCAGAGCTAAGACACTATTCAGAAGCAAGTATTTTCTATGTTTGAAATTCCCTTCGGTTCCATTTGACCGTGAGTAGAGTTTAGAATTCACGAAGAAAGCGTATTTTAGCCAAAGGCAGAAGATTCGTATTTGAACGGAGCGCAGCGAAATAAGGTAATATTCTTTCACGCGAAAATAAAAAAAAAAGGGTTAATAGATAACTTCCAATTTGTTTTTTCTCGCGCAAGTAACAAAAATGTTCCCTTCCCTGTCCCCATCCAATCGCACTTCAACCAGTCGGGGGAGGTGAGTATAGAATTGTTAACAAATCATCAGAAGGCTTGGTTACCTAGTAGAGCCTGGTATCTAAGCTCCTTCAGAAAGTGATCCCAAAAAAAATTTCTGCTTTCCGTCTCGATTTCATCGTGGCCAATGATCCATGTTGTCTGGGTAATATCTCTCGTCTCAAATGCAGTATAACTTTCCCGTAGAAAAATGCCATTAAGCTGAACGGTGCTATTCCAATCAAAATTAACCAGGCGATATTGTAACCCTTTGCAGATGTCACATTTGGCCAATGGCTTTCGCAAATTCCACGCTGTTGATTGAGGCTTCTGACATAGAAAAGTGGGATGTTGAAGATAACGGAAAGAAACCAACCGAGGCCAACTAAAATCTTTAGTTTTCTGCAGCTTAGCTTTGATCGTGTTCCAAGAGGAAAAGTAATGGCAGCGTATCGCTCGTACGCTAATACTACCAACGTTGTCGCTGAAGACACCGCTCCAACCCAGGTGAATGTATCAGAAGTGATTGTTTTACATAAGATGGTTCCTTGCAAACCTCGAGGATGATGGTATAGTCCTCCAAGTATATGCCTAGGAGTGAAGGATATCACGATCATCATATCACTTATGGCGAGATTCATTAGAAGATAATTCACCGGTGTCCTTAAAATCCTGTTTTTCAAGATGGTGAAGCAAACCAAAAGATTGCCCAGCAAAGCTGTCAGCACCAACGAAGAGTGGACAACTTTGGTAATAAAGTTCTCTGTGTGCATGTTCCTCCTTTCAAGGTGCTTTTTTATTTTAAGTCTGTTGAGGTAAAAAGAAGGTACATGATCATCATGCTACCTTAAATAAGCATTTTCAGTCGTCCACCAAAGATATATATATTATATAAAACAAGAGCAAATGATCTATATACTACACACACACACATATATATATATGTCAATATAATATCAAGGAAGAGCAAATGATCTATGTGCATATGTCAAGGTAATATCAAGCAAGAGAATAATCTCAATATACATGTCATATACATAATTCCAAAAAAGAGAAAATTATCAATATATATGTCTGACCGACCGTCAAAATACTAGTCTCCAAGTTCTTGTCCAAATTTTATTTAGATTGAACAATGTCGCATACTTGTACTTATCTGATTAGGTATTGTCCGCTGAAAACAAATATATGAAGATCAGACAAATACGACCAATATTCTCAATCAGCTTGCATCACAAGTCGGAGTCGTTTTCCATAAAATGAAACCTGCATGAAATAAAGTGGGAACTCGGCTGAATGTTTAACTTCCAACTTTTATGTCTGTTCTTTGCGCCAATCCGCCCACCTGTCATTGCGAATGCGAATGCAGCGTACTCACTTGGGGGCAAAGAAATGAAAAATTTGTATCGTACAAAAGAGGGTGGGACTAAAATTGTGGGTGTAACTTGAGGTAGTTTTACTAATTAACGAATTACAAGGAGAACACAGGGGGGAACACTCGTTTTTGTCCCATGAATAGCACAATTAATTAAAGTTTGGCTCTTATAGAGGTACGTAACGACAAACCTGAATGAGTGGTGGAAAATTATACGCGTTTACAACGTAGGGGATACCAGTTTAATATATAGTTTAGTTTTTTAAAGACTTTTTAGACATTCAGACTCGAATACATGACATGTGTAGAATAAAACGAAAATCAATTAACTCAAACAGTGTTGTTTGGCCAGCTGTGATGAAGAATGACATTTTATTCCTCAATTGAAAAAAGGGCTTTCGTATTTCTCATTAGCATTAAATGCTAAGATGAACGCCACATTAAAGAGAATAAATTGATGTGGGAGACGATCAAATCTACTTCAGCTCTAAATAATTTATTTTTCAATTATCTTGCCAGCTGAAAATGACACTTGAGGGAACTAATTTATTGTAGAAGTGCATTTATGATGAAAAAAGGGCTTTTGTGTTTCTTATAAGTATTGAAATGACTATTGAAGATGAACGCTACATTAAAGGAAAATAATTTATGTGGGATATAGTTAGGCCTTTTCAGCTCTGACCGATTTATTTTTCAGTTCTCTTGCCAGCTAGAAATCATATTTGAATAAATTTATTGTAGAAGCGCAGTTATCATCTGTGAATTTCCTTATTCGCGAGATGAATGACATATCTGATACCACTGAAACCTAAATCAAAGAGATTGGCACGTTATTGTTACATGGTCCATGTCGAGGTTCTTTATAGTAAACCACCCACATGCAATAAACATCTGTGTACCACTCTATAGCATATACTTTTATCAGGTATTATATGGTAACTCCTGCAAAAATAAGCTTAAAAGACCCTGGGGGTATTTGCAAAATTCCAGATAATCTGCCAAAGAGATAGGCGGAAATTTTATCCAGTGATTAAAAGAGAATAATAAGGCAAAATGTCTTATGGATGTTGCCATTAAAGACGCCGGACCATTTCTCCATTACGCTTCACGTTATGAAACATGACAAAAATAGCGTTTAACTCCGGCCCGGGCGAAAAACTCTCGATAGCTTTTAATTTTATGGTAATTTTAAGTTTCCTGGAGCTCTTTCTTTTTGTCAGTACCTTTTACTGGCGATCTAAAACACAGTCAGAATTTCTTTCCATTCATTATAACTTGTTGATCTCCACTTTCCGTTGCAGCTCCAAAATGCTTTCACGGTTAAAATTTTATTGTTACTTACAGCGGAAAAGGATCATCGACGATTCATGAACGTCGATAAGCGACATATTAAGAACATGAAATCCAGCCAAAGTCTAACAATTTTTATTTTCCTATTCGCCTCTATCTCATGACGAGTCATTTGCAAAAAAATTTTAAACGGTCTAATGGAACAAAATATTTGGACATCAAAAGAATACAGCTCTATAATGCGACCAGTATTTTGCATGCAATGCACTTAAAGAAGTAACCCTTCTACAGACAGATTTCGAATGTTGACGAGAGTTGCGAAAGTACCTCTAAATGTCAGAAATAACTCATTATCCCTTATCGAACGACCACAGCCATTAGTCAACCTCTGACTTGCTAATTTCGAATTTCCATATCAGACAGATTACATCCTACAGCTAGACATGATGTAGGCACGGAATTTAAGCTATTTAAAACACCTTGCCTAAAGTTTCCTTACCCGATAAAATCAAATAAAAGTGATGCGCAGGAAAAAAAAGTCATATCTTGGTTACTTCTGCAAGTCAACCTTTAAAGATTTTTTAGACGTTCAGACTCGAATACATGATATGTGTAGAATAAAACGAAAATCAATTGACTCAAACAGTGTTGTTTGGCCAGCCGTGATGAAGAGTTTGACATTTTATTCTTCAATTAAAAAAAGGGCTTTCGTATTTCTCATTAGTATTAAAGTCACTGTTAAAGGTGAACGCTACATCAAAGTGAATAAATTGATGTGGGAGACGATCAGTTCTTTGCTAATTTCGAATTTTCAAACCAGAGAAATTACATCCCTACGGCTAGACATGATGTATTATTCCTCAATTAAAAAAAGGGCTTCCGTATTTCTCATTAATATTTTCGAATTTCGAATTTCCATACCAAAGAAATTACATCCTACAGCTAGACATGATGTAGGCACGGAATTTTAGCTATTTAAAACACCTTTCCTAAAGTTTCCTTACCCGATAAAATCAAATAAAAGTGATGCGCAGGAAAAAAAAGTCATATCTTAGTTACTTCTGCAAGTCAACCTTTCTTATATTTCATTTTATTGAGTACCGAAGCTCACTATGTCGATTCAAGCTGTTCTGCTATTGTAATGTTTTAAAGTAGTCATCAGTCAGAATAAACTTATTTCTATAAGAGAATAATCGCAGAATTTCTATATTTTACTTACCAAAAACTGATAGAAAAGTTTATGCCTCCTTAAATTTTACACACTCACGTTATAGTTTCTGATTTTATCACGAACTTTCTTAGCAAAAACTGAAAATATTATTTTGATACCAACCTCCTCATCAGGATACTCTCACCTTTTCCAAAGTCAAAAGTAGCTCAAAACAATGAAGTCGTGTTGAGCTTATTCTCTCGATGAACAGATGCACACTTTCTCGGTTGAAATGTACGAAATTAAAACAGGCTGGTCGGTTTACAAAGCATTACATAAACCATTAATTAAGATTGCTTTGCATTAGAATAGGTAGATATGTCTACTTAGCTTCATCAGTAGTTCTCTTGAATTTTTCGAATATGTTTGCAGATTATCCCACAAGTTTTTCAACGGGGGTTACATAATGTTCTTGACATGGCGATGGAACTGAAGACGGCGTATCGAAATTTCCAGCCTAAAAATACAAAAAACAGCGAGATAATAACTGGCATATCTAATCGTGCTCAAAATTCAATTCAGAGTACTCATTATTGGTACAGCGCAATAAGCTTTGAGTAACAAGTGAAGCGAACGTATGTGACAAAATATTTTGTAATGACTGTAAATATATAAAAATCATATTTGTGCACTGAAGTTGAAGAAACGAATATAGAAGCCATCCTAGCAGTTATGAACACTACTGCATCAGTAGTTGAAATAAGGCCTGAAAAAAATCAGTCTAATTCAGGCCAATTCAAAAAATTCAATTCAACTACTAGTTCAGTAGTGTGCATAACTGCGAGGATCGCTTCTGTATTCAAAAATGGTGTGGTCACTGTTGTTAATAGTTATCATAAATATTGATGGAGAAGAAATAAGAAGAAATGTAACCGTTATGACATTTCTCCTCATATATTACTTATTCTCTCTGATGCATGAATTGAATATAACAGTCTATCTTTGGATGAAAGCCATAAGCTCAAGTCCATACACAAATAAAAATAATAATATCAAAAAAAAAAATTATTAAACCAAGCGAATTCCAATTATTTTTCATCAACAATACACTGGAACAAAATTCTCAACACACAATCTTTTTTGAGTTAATTGCAAAGTGCGAAACGGACATGACAGTTTTTGTTAATTGCTGCAACTCAAAACGTCTCAAATAATACCCCTTCTGTCATTTTGAGCTGTAAAACTTGACTAAACCAAAACTACGACATATGCCTTTTGTTTCAGCAAGGGTTATAATTAGCAAGCTTAACAGCGTAGAGACGAAAATTTTATCAAAAGTATTTACCAATTAAACTGAAATATTCCCACTGTGGATATTTAACTGCGAACAAATAAATAAGTTTTCTCGAAGCATGCAGTTGAGGTCAGGTAAGACGATTTATCGAAATCTGATTGGAAATATGCTTTCGAATCTATTGGGTTTGCCTTTTATCAATTGTGTTATACTTCATCACTTTGGTCTATAGGGTGTAAGGTATTGATTGTAGGTAACTGGACCAATCTTAGTGAAGTTACGAAACTGTAAATTAACAAATGACGAAACATGCTGCCAAGAACTTATTAAATCTCGCTTGAGGCATTGGAAACAAATGCAAATATTACGATGAGAGTTAAAATTTCCGGATGTTGCATTTACACGCCATCTGCTTATACCTGTATACAGAGTGTTGTAAAAGACATATAGGCATTCCTTTCCATCACCTCAATCAAGACACTCTTTTGAATGATAATTCCCCATTTGTAAGAAACCAATTTCCAATTGCAAGTGTTTTCCGGAGATGGCGCAGAAGTAATTTCGAACGTCGCTTTGGAAAACGGCATAAGATTGAAAAATGTAGTGAAGAGGACAACGGCAATAACAGTTGTGCTCTGTGTCGCAAAGAGTTGTCTCCCATCTT